CCCTGCTAAATTATGTCTTGGCTGTATCTCTGACATTTCCAAAGCTCTATAGAAGTTCCTTGACTTACTTAATCACCTCATAAAACCTTTGTTTCTGCTTCTTTCTCAGCAGAGTTTTAGTCCTCACTGCTGCAGCAGCTCTGTGTCTTCTGTGTTCTCTTTCTACCTACACTAAACTGCTTTGGAGGCTTCTTTGCTCTAAGCATCCTCAGTTGCTAGCAGGAAGGCACAATATTTCTTGCCTCCTGCAGGGACCCACCTAACCAAGTTATAAAGAGACCAGTTCCATTATTTTTCTCTTTCCAGATTCGTGTTTAAAAAATCATAAGCTTTTTGTGATGATGAAAAATATAGACAGAAACTCAATTAATCCATCATATTCCATACTTAATTTGTAAATCATCTGGGTAAACAGTAGCTTTACTAAATCCAGTTAGAAAGAGTTTCTGTCTCTTTGGGGTAAACACTCTCTACTAAGATGGGGAAGAGAAAGCTAAATTACAGAGAATAAGTTATTGAGGAACACAAAAGAATTGACTTTCTTATGTGACAGAAATCCAGACAGAAAGAAAAAAGCTCTGACAGAGGGTGTCATGTTAACTGAGTCAATCTTCTCTCAAAAATCCATCCTGCAGGAAGGCCTTGCTCCATCCTGAATACCAGTAGAATCGCTACCTTATTGTTTAAGTTGGAATTTTTGTTTGCTGAATAGTGCTTGCCTAGAACACAAATACTTCAAATATGTATGTACAATCTCCACTGGGGACAATAGGGAGGAATAAGGTTAGGCCAAGTCTACCTTTCCATATCATTCTTCTAAATTCATTGACTACCAAATAAATCAAAATAAACACAAAAAGATACACTTTTTAGTCTCACCATCTGTTTCTGTTGTCCGTCCTTTCCCATCCATCTTCCTGAGGACAGTCTATCAACATGATCCTGATCAAGTACACAGAGGGATGCTAAGGCCAGCCATAGCTATTGAAAGGCAAAGTAGAATTAAATGGTTTAGAAATATATATAAAAATAATCCCAAATACTAAAAATATAAACTCTGGCAGACAAGAACGTCGCTGTTACCTGCAAACTGTATCATCATTAGCTGAATTCTGCCCAAACAATGCAAGTTTTTTTTATTTTTCAAAAGAAGTCAAGCACACAGTAAAACTTAATGAACTTTTGGGAACTACTTTGTTTATTTCCAGTATGTCACTTTATGGTCATAAATACAGTAGTTAGCACACAAGAGAGAAACAGTGAAGAAAGATCAATCAGAGTATGTTGTAGAAAAATGTGACAAATACAGACTTGCATATCACTCCCAATCATTGCAGGCTTTGGAGGAGAAGAAGAAAGTCAAGGACAAAGACTGATGAAAAAAACCCAAAACAACAAAACTTTAGCTCAGTGAGATTGGTTTCCCTATGTTCTCTCGTCACTGTACAGGGCATTTGAGATCACCTAGAAAAGGGTTCTGAGCTAGCTATTCGTCAAAGAAAACTTTTCTCTCTTCTCCTCTATTGACTACAGTGAAATCCTGAAGAGATAAGCTACAGGAGGATAATTTGTCGGTAGGTCTTCAGCCTAAACTGAAATGCACTTGACAACTGCTGCAATAGTTTTTGTTCAAAAGTCTGTTTTGAACAAAATGGTTTTAATTGAAAAACTCTATTGGATTCCTCTCAGAAATGCACACCTCCATGACAGAACTAAGTTCATTCCCAAGGCGAGCTGGGCTGATGTTCAGGGCTCCTCTGAGACGCAATTAAACTAACGCAGTGACAGCAGGAGCTGGTGGTACTCTGAGACCATGTCTTCAAATAGCAGAGAATATAAGAGTAAAGGGATGAAAAGGACAACTGGCACAGCCTTTTTAGATGGAAAGCAACATGTGTGTCAAATGCTTGTAACCATTGCAAACCTCTTCTTTTACGTATAATTATTATACTTGAGAACCCAAAATCTGTATTCTCTAAGATAGTAGAAATGTAATAATTTACAAGTGTGCTTTTCAAGGTATTTTGAGCAACCTGTTAATGTTAAGTTAGCCCCATTTTGTAGAAGAGAGTCAAGGAATAAGTAAAGACAAAGAAAAAAAGCACATCTCAGGTAAATAATAAAGGAATCAGCAAAAGATTTTTCATTTTGAGTCTAAAATGTGGGTGAAGCTTAGTTTAATTGTCCTAGAGAATGTTTGGTACTGAGTATTTTCATAATAACCTTGAGATGTGGCAGCTGATGACCTAGCAGTCAAACCACTTACAATAATCATGTAGAGAGCTGGAAAAAAGACAGCTAATACATATTGTGCAATTTTCCACAAAGATGATCTCATAAATTTAGTAAAAGGCAAGTGTCACAAACTTAAAGCAGAATTACCTCAAGGATAAAACCTAAATGTATAAGCATAACACTTATTCTTCATTATTTGGGAGGCACCCAAGATGCATATTTAATCACATTTCAGTTTTTACTGGTCTATTTCTGCCACAAAGAAGAAAACTCAATCTGCTGTGACAGAAAGAGTAAGACTTTTACTGGGACAAACAGTGATTGCCTTAGTTAGGATACTTGTCCTTTATGCACACAGCTAGATTTGGAAAATAAAAACTGTATACTGTATGCATTGTTTCCTGCAACAACCTGTATAAGGAAGTTTTTTCTAAAACATAGGAAGGCTTTTGGATGGGCTCCTACTGCACTTGTACAATGAACTAATGTTAAGTTTAGTAAAGTTCTTACTCTGGTTGTTGCAATGCACCTCACTGGTGATCTGTATTCTTCTTCCATTTTGGTCAGAGCTATGATAGTTTCAGCAATAGCATTCTTTGTCACACGGGACCAAGCTTCCGACAGATGACCCTGTTAAAGAGGAAACTCAATTTATTACAGCTTTTATTAAGAACAACTAAAATTGTAATAAAAACTGCTACAAGCAACATCAGTTTAGGATCTCAAGTTAGAGTAGAAAAAAGAGGAAGTAAGGGATGACTGACAAATCAGGTGCTTTCCAGTCAGACAGATCTGGTAAAAATTAGCCCTCAAATACTCAGGTAGTATCTGAGCAACTATTGGAATAACTAACTTGGAATAGGTAGAGAGGATACAATTTGAAGAATGAAAGGGCATATTCCTAAATCTTCTCCTCCAGAGAAAGAAAATGCAGAGCTGGAGCAAATAAATGATTGTGAATGAGACACAGATTACAGTGAGTTCCCAGAGAAATCAGCTTCACTCGCCTAGCTCCGCCTTCCTGAATACTCTCCACAGTTTCTGTATTTGAAAGAAATAAAGAGGAGTACACAGGAGACATCAGAACTATAGCATAGTTCCCACATAGGGATACAAAGGCAAGCATAGGGATAGGCAAGCATAGGGCCACAAAGATGATTAAGGGAGTGGAGCATCTCCCTCATGAGGAAAGGCTGAGGGAGCTGGGTCTCTTTAGCTTGGAGAAGAGGAGACTGAGGGGGGACCTCATTATTGTTTATAAATATGTAAAGGGTGACTGTCATGAGGATGGAGCCAGGCTCTTCTCACTGGCATCCAATAACAGGACAAGGGGCAATGGATATAAGCCGGAACATAGGAGGTTCCGCTTAAACATGAGGAAGAACTTCTTCCCAGTAAGGGTAACAGAACACTGGAACAGGCTGCCCAGAGAGGGTGTGGTTGTGGAACGCCTGGACGCGTTCTTGTGTGATCTAATCTAGGTGGTCCTGCTCCGGCAGGGGGATTGGACTAGATGATCCTTTGAGGTCCCTTCCAATCCCTAACATTCTGTGATTCTGTGATATAGCATACTTTCCAAACCAACTGACTCATACACTGAAGTTCACCATTCAGAGACTACTGAATCCTTAAATTCTTAATGTAATCTCTAAATTTCTAAACCTCATGCTAAAGAAAACAGAAATAGCGGAGACTCATTGGACTCTAAAAAGGAAGCTACAGTGATGAACTGAGATGTAGGTACCTACACACTGCACATGTTGACAAAGTTAAGTGAAAGGAATCATCGGGCAACCTGGTGTAGTGGAGGGTTTCCCTGCCCATGGCAGGAGGGTTGGAACTAGATGATCTTTGAGGTCTCTTCCAACCCAAACCATTCAATGATTCTATGATGTTTGTACTCTTATAAAGTGGCTAGTAAGACTGATGTCACCCTACTGATAATTAGCAGCTCTAAAAAGCCTCAAAGAAAGGTTTTTGAACTAGGACTCCTCTATTCCTCCGCTTTCTTTTGGGTAACAGGGCTGAACCTCCAAACAAGTTTTGAGCGTGCCTAAGCTACAGAGGTCCCTTACAAAACCTAATTAAGCAGTGTTACTACTCCCACCCTTGAATGGCCTGTCAAGTCTCCCTCATCTAGAATGAAAAGAAATAAAGTTCAGGTCTCTTTTTCACACAAGAAGAGAGAAGAGTCCTTACTGTTTGGCTACTGAGTACTTTAGAGTAAACTCTGTCCCAAATATTCCTCTAGGAGCTGCTACACTTTAAACAAGCAATTCAGAATCTACTGAAATCACATCTAAGAGGACTACACTTTATCTAACTCACTTGATTGCTTTCTTTTTTGTAATAAGTAGTTACTTATTCATTCCAAATCGAGTGATGAAGGATGAGACGCTTTAATTCTAGCTCCTAACTAAAGATGAATTGTGAGATTCTGAAATCTTGTGGTCAGAATCAGCAGTAGCAATTGCAGTGAATTCCCATCCAGCTTCAGCAACTTTGAGAAAGGATGTCCTTAGTCTAAGAACAGTGAATGTTTATAAAATCGGACTCCAACGCTGAACATACTGAGACAGCTTTCAAAGGGTAATCACAGAGGAAAATCTAGGTCATTTAGAGCATCTCACTGAAATAGGCACAGAATTAAGGAAAACAAAACCAACCTCCCAAGTAAAGTCCTTTCCATTAAACATATACAAAACCTATTTTTTTTTTCCAATATTGTTTCTGGGAGAAAGCTGAATCACTTTTCATGATTTTTTTCTGCCAAAAAAACTTGCCTGAAGCAGATACAACTATGGAAAATTTCAGATGGTTAAAGTAATAAACAACTATAAACGTAGACGTCAGCAAGACTGAAAGAAGTCAATCTTAACATGCAATCTTAATCAGAAACTCCAAACATAAAATATACATACAGTTCCATGAAAACAACACTATTATCTTACTCCACAGACACTTTTTGCTTTTCAATTGGAGTTTTGAGTTCTCAAGACTTAATCTAGTCTTCTAATAATGTAGAAAATGACACATAATTATTGTTTACTTCTTACATTTCTGGTGAGAGTGACTTATTTAAAAGCTTATTTCAACACTGGATTTCTGTTTAGCAGTTCCTACCGCTCCTAGGCCTAGACTCTACCCAGAATACCGTACGTTTTTCTTCTTGAGACCAACTCACATTTAACAGCTCAACCCAGTATTAACTGCAATAGAAAGTAATGAAAAAATATACTCTTCATTATCAGAAATATTTGAATATTTAAAGGATAGAAACTTACTGCTGCCATGTCTTTAATGAGTTTAATAATGATCTCTGAGATCTGTGTAGGTGTTGAACCCTTCATCCACCAATGGCTTTCACCTCGCCGAATGTAGCTGGAAAGGATGTCATAATACATGAAATTAATCCAAGTAATTAGTTACTATTTGTCAAAATCCACCACAAAGAAATAGTGCACATATTCAGCATATGGTAGCTGGTGGGTTTTTTGGAGTTTTTTGTTTTGTCTTTTTTTTTTTTAATCAAACTCACTAATAACATGACTTATACTGTCCAAGTGTTATCCAATTCTTTCTGTTTATAAAATAAAGATTATAAAAGACAACATAATTGACTTCAAAGAAAGTAATTATTTTGTGCCTTTAGCTTGAGAATATATACGTATTTTTAAACAAACCTGGAATTGAAGATCATTGGAAGCGTGACTGTAGTAACTCCTTTGCCTGCAGTAGTGCCAGCTGTCCCTGTTATAGTAGTTCCTTTGGCTTTTAGCTGTACAGTGAGAGCTTTGGCAATGCATCCCAAAAACATGTCTAAGATACCTAGTTTATTCCAATCTCCTTTTTCTGTTGAGTGAATGATATCACTTATATCTGCTGGTGGAAGAGACTTCACTCCTATAATACTTGCCAGGCGACTAGGGGTTACCTCGGGCAATACACGTCTTAGTAACGATGTTACCTGTAGAAAAAATCAGAACACCACAATTCTTACCCAAACAGCTGGAGTTTTCAAGCAAAATCAAAAAAGCCTCTCCTCTTCTTCACAAGTTATTTCAGTAGGAAGTACTGAATTAAGTTTCTGTACTTAAATTACACCTGTAAGAAATTAGGTAAGGTTTCTACCTTGCTTTGAAGTATTTATTAATACATCAGTGAGACAAGGCCTAAGAGTCCAGAACCAATCTCACTCAAACAATACTTGGTCTTCATATAATAATACAAATATGCTTGGTACTGGACTTCGGATACCAGTGATACAGACGTTCACACAACTCTGATTTGCTTTCACATTACAGACGTGTTACCTACTTTGCATATAATCTTTAGATATGCAACTTCAGATATAATATTTAGATGTCAGAAACTTTGTGATAGAACTGTTACAGATACTTTAGACTTCTGAAAGCAAAGTACTTGTCTTAAGGTACTGAGAATCACAATACTCTTTTCCCCCTCCTTTAGTTTTTCTTGTGATACTCTAACTGGCATTTTTTCAAAAGGAAATCTGTGCCAATTGCTCTGCATCTGACAGGAGTTGTCTTGAAATAATATGCTTCAACCTTACCAGCTGGTGGAAATGGGGTTGAAACGGAAATATCATGCAAAACTTGGTCCAAATCAGGACGTATGAAAGCTTAAGGAGTTAAAATTTCGTATACCATTTCTCAAGCCTTCAATGTTCTCATGAAAAATTGTTCACAATTTGAGAATAAACCAGTATTTTGCACAGCTACAATATATCAGAATTACTGAGCAGGGCGTTATCTGCCTCCAGGCAAGTTGAGATGTGACATTGTAAGAGTTCAGAAAATTAAGAAAAGTAGTGAGTATGACGCAAAAAAACTTCTGAAACAGGAACTAAAAATCCATCTAGAGAAGGCATACCAGCTAGCAACAAGAAGCTAGTGTATTAACTGTACTAAAGCAAATATTTTATCTGTCTACATATTTATGTTATATTATATGCATACAAATACATATACTCAGACAGACAACATTCAAGTTCAGAAAGAAACAGATATTAAAGCTCTGTCTGAGGATACCACAAGTAGAAAGGAACAAGTTCAGAAAGAAACAGATATTAAAGCTCTATCTGAGGATACCACGAGTAGAAAGGAGCTGTCTAGTTCCACACTACTACACTTGTAGCCTGAGTGTAAGACAAAGATCCTAAGGACTCATCCCAGATCAGTAACAGACACTGCTAATTAAAAACCTCTCATCTTACTGATACAGGCTATATGTGCATTTTATACGTATAATATGGGATACTCTGGGAAAACAACACTGCATTTCGGATTTGACAGACATTTCAACCACGCTGTACTTATTCAAAGTCTAATCTCAACCTGTGAAGCCTCTGCTTCCTCTGTTATGATATTTTAGCAAGACAGTCATTAGTTGTCCCATAATTCTAGCTGTCACTGTGCCTCGAGGTCAAACACGATATTAAGAGGGCAAGAATTAACTATGGCCTCCTCAAATCATGCAAATGTTTACCAACATTTGCAGCATATGCTGCACATATAAACGGGGGGTAACTGTGGAGCTCTCTCAGATTCTTTCCCCACAATGAAGTAGTATGAGATCTTACTAGAAAACAAGCAGTCACCTCACTAGTTTCCTTCTACACCTGAAAATGTAACTGTTTTTTAATACAGTATTATTTGCAATAAACAAACAAACCAACCAGTTTTTAAACTTCACACATTGGAGAAATGGGAAATTAACAGCTCTGACATTTAAAAGGAGCATCTCTGGTTCTTGCAAATATACGTAGGTAGTAATTCTGGACGATGCTGTCCTTTATAAATAGATAAATGCAATACGTGAACTTTAAGCAGTGTCTTTTTTGGAATGTAAATACATAACACTGGTCTAAATTTAAGTACTGCCAGTCACAAGGCAGTGCCAACTTTGGAATCTGAACCTTCATCTTAAAAAAGAGAATTCTTAGTCATTGTGATAGAAAGGAAACACCTGACAAATCGAACATATGTAACAGGACATGGATGACTGTGTTGAAAACATGATCAGTTGGGCTACTGTGGAGTCTGATTCACTGAAGAATCCCTGGCAACATGACTCCAAAATGAAGACCAGGTGCTTACATCTAAGACACCCATTAGGACACAGAAAATGACTAATTGCTCTTGTGCATCCTACTTTATTTTGGCAACATCCCCTGCCAAGCAAACTGTACTTCTCTTCGATGTATGGTCCGAGAAAGCAATTTATCCTGCCCTATTCAAAATCTTCCAGCGGAAGGACAAGAAAGGTGAAGAATGGTATTATTCAAAGGCATTTCAGAATAGCATGCTGATGTAGGTACTTGATGTCATAAGTGTTAATTAAGTAATTTTGAGTTCCTACACCTCAGTTTTACCTCTTGGAGACAAAGTATTACAAAGTTACTCAAAAGAGAGTTTGTCTTAATTTTGTAACTGTAGCCTTCAACACCGTTTGTGCTTCCTACAAGTAGTTTTAAAGATTCAAATTGTCATAGTGCTGGAGTATATATGTATTTATATATCAAACACATAAAATTTTGGAATTTTAACCCCATTTAAGAATTGGGGGAAAAAAAAATAATCAAAAACCTGACACTTAAATACCAAAAAGAGATTCTGCAATTTGTTTTTAAATGTTCATTAATTTCTATTTGCCCTCTTCTCACGATTGCAATAAAAAATAAGTTGCTTTATTTACAGTTATTCCCTATGTGGAATATAGGGATGATCTTAGTATGATTGGGAAAACATTTCTGAAGCAAAGCCACAAAATTACATTTCACAAAAAAGTAAGTTCAAATATGTATTATACTATCACACACACAACTATAGGATTCTAATGGCTTTTTTCTAGGAATGTCATGATAGACGAGGAACAGTTGGCACTGACCTGTCTCTGCACCCTGGGAGAAGCAGTGTGTAGTAACGAGAAGAGATCCTGGAGCAGAGTCAGCTGCTGAGCCAGATACTGCCGGCCTACATTGGAACCACTCAGTGCCAGAACCATTGACAGCAGCTCGAAGCAATAAGCGTCAGAAGAAGCATCCTCATCGTTGGGCTGCGAGTTGGCGTTCTCTTTGCTGGAGATGGCATGCTCCCACTCTTCACGCACACGGGTTGCTTCCATTCGTATGGCCTGGACTATATGAGCACATACCTGTCCAAACACAATCCAAATACATAGCAACTCTTAAAAACTTTTAGAAAGTGAAAGAGGTTGTGTTTTATGCACCTTCGCAACAATACTAAAATGGAAAGCCTGTGAAGTTTAGCCTGTGCTTAAATTACCTTTCAACATAAATTCAAATGAAGAATAAAATTTAGATTCAAATTTAAAGTATAGATTAAATTCTTTAAAATTAAGAATTAGATTTAGTACTGAATTTGCTCATATTAATTTTTGAAAATTGAAAAAGTGTAATAAAGATAACATAAAAGAGGCCTTGGTATATTTCAAAAAAATAGGTATTCAAAAGAAAAAACATGCTCTATTGCTTTATGTTAAGAAAAACAAAGATAATTAAGAAACCACAAATGCAAACTTCATTGACTGCAAGAAAGAATAATTTAATAATCTATGTACTGATTACCTTTTGAGGATTAAATTTTATCAAACTTAAATACTTTTTGATGATAGAAATGGTGAGAACATACGTGTAAAACTATGAATCTAAACTCTGTTACTGAACTTCTAGAAATTTCAGAGGGTCTACTGTTATGCTATTATTATCAGCAAGCATGAATACCATTTACAACTCAATTCTAAAGCTTTTCCTTTTAAATTGAGTCTAATAGGATCGAGTTTTTATCCTTTTAAACTTTTTTTTTCAGGGTCAATTTCAGCAGATTTTCCCTATAAAATGCACACACACACTATTTAAAATGTAACCCAAAATTTGATTACAAAGAACAACAGAAGATCTGAAAGTGTAAAGTGAAAGGTATTATGTTCACTGAAAATGAGCATATTTATTACAATACACAAACATTTAATCCTCAAAGCGTTTCAGAATCAACAAACCTGCTTCTGCAAATTCGTCAGTTTGCTCCGGCTGAATATGATCCCTACCATGTGCTCCTTCAGGTCTGCATCTGATGTTGCCTTCATAAAAAACATATTTAATGTTAGACCAAGAGCTTCAAGAACATTTCCTAATTACTGCAGCAATTAACATGGAAGATCAACAAGCTTTGTTCTAAAAGTTTGTAGCTTTTTGTTACAGAAAATAAGATATATAAGCAAGGTCAATTTAACTATGGTCAATACATTTCTCTGAGATGCATTTACTTACCTTCTCTTTATAAGAGGAAATTTGAGCATTAAATAAAATAATCAATAAGCAAAACAAGTGAAGTATAATTATCCGAGATTCAGCTGCTTCACGTAGCTTAATACAATCACTGATTAAGTTTTTGTAAAACAGTGCACAGAATATACTTTTCAGTTTATATATTTCACAATAAAAGAAACAGGGAACACACAATTAAGTTACCACACAGAAGGTGTGAGAAAAATACACTTTTACAAAATGAGTAATTCAAGTCATGGAACTTATTGCCACAAAGTACTGGGTAGAAAAAAAAAACATGCATCATCTGAAAAACAAAATTACTTTAATTGAGGACAGTCTAGTTTTGGCTATTAAACATGACGGTCCAAATCCAGTGACCTTTTCAGGAACACTTCTTAAACTAATCCTCGCTGGAAGACAGGACAGTATACTAGGTAAAAGGATACTAGTGCAGTTTCTTACAATTTTTTCTCTAAACATCAGCAGAGCCCCTCTCAAGGCACAAGATAATAGGCAAGAAGGACTTTCAAGGTTGACCATTACCACAGGTGCTAACTACTTCTGCAATTGTTGAACATAATTTCCACCACCATTGCTATGATGTTTCCATTAAACACCTATGCTCCAACTATAATTTGCTAATTAAAAAACCAATGATAATTTAGAAAAATAAGCAATTGTGACATTTTTCTTCTGTTTTGATCTGAAAATTATGTAGCATAAGACATAGGACAAATACTAGAAATCATCCTCGATTATTTTTTCAGCAAAGTATTATTGACGGAATACAAATAAATACATTGTGTACTTTTTCTTCTCCTTCTGGGGAAGATAACAGTGCTTTTTCTTCTTGTTCTGGGGTTGGCTCAGCATCTCCAGAGATGAGTTTTCCGAATACCTAGAAGACAGACAGAGACAATTAGCTTATCTCAAAGACAAACTTGTGTAGATGTGACATTTTACATTAAAACATAAAACACTGAAAGTCTACAATTTATAGTAACTTTCCCTGTACAACACATCATTAAAAACCCACCTGGGATGTAATAAGTCGGAATACTCGCAGTGTCTCAGATTCACAGTTTCTTTGTTGAGCAACACTTGCAGAAATCTGGCCTGCTATTTTAATGCTTTCACCGTCTTTCCATCCAAGAATTTTCACTTGTCGAACTCTTAGTGTGTTCTCTGGACCCTTCAATTCAATTTTGATGATGTGATTATCACCCCCAGGAAGTTCACTTGTTACCCAGCCAATATGTCTTGAATCCAAGTCTACCTGTTAAACAGGAATATAAAGATGGGAACCGACATTACATCAAACAAAAAGTCACCTAACTCCAAAACAAACCCATCATTTATCACTGGAACCAATACAATATTTTCTATGAAATTTTCATCCTGAGCAGTAAGACTAACATGTTTAATTATAGAAGATATTCAAACGCATGAATTCAGATAATAAAAAAACCTCAAAAAAGAGACATATAGCCATTTATTTTTTGTCTTTAAAGTCTATTAGAAGTAGGAGCCAATCTATTCCTTTTATCCTCTAAGCAACACTTCACATATTCAAAAAACCACTTTGAACTAATATTTGCTCGCTACTTTTAATTAAAAAAAAGGCACCATAATTTAACTAAAAATATAACACACAATTATCAGAAGTTAAGTTATTTCATTCCTATTCACATAAACCCCTGCCAAAGCAATGGTAAGTCTGTGGAAGTCAATGTCTGATATCCTTATCAAGAGATGCAGGACTTAATAATTGTAAAAAATACAGATGAACTGTATTGAATTAAGTTTATTTTAAAATAAATATTAAAAAAAAAACCCAAAACATAAACAATGTTATATGCTTTAAACCAGAAGCCAAAACCCAATGGGGTGCAATGCCTCACATCATTGCACAGAGCAACCTGAGTGGGTCTAAGTTACGCTTGGCCCAAGCCAAGTGAGCCCTTTCTTACAGACATAGGCTCATTTATAGTCAAGCTAATATTTCTTCTTTCCCATTTCTACATTAATTCTCAGTGTCTGCATTGAACTGTGCTGCAGCAGACAAGATCGACTTTTTTATTTTTTTAAATACCATAAGACGATATGCATGAGTTAGGGTATAGTATGTGGGCGCTTTTGAAGATGAAAAACCTGTTAGAGAAGTGTCAGAGGACCGTTCAGCAAGGAGGAAGCAAAGCCGAATCAAGTCCTGCCTGGCTTCTGGGAGGGAACCATCCCTGGAAAGCTAACAAGCTGTATTAATGATTACGAGTCCAGCGCCTGAGTGCTGCTGTGGCCTTCTTTTATCCAGCGGGACAGCCAGGCATACCAAGTCAGTCTTCTCAAAAAAAAGACTTCTCCAACAAGGCGGTGTGTGGATCCATCTATATTTTGTAACTACATATATAGACTCACAGAGAAACCACACACAAGCTTTATATCTGTCTATGTATATACACGCACTCACACGTCACTGTTTAGTATGCATCCACTGTACCAAAGTTTTGTTTCTTCAGATTTTTAACATCTTTTGGAGCTGTATCTTTGCCTTAAATGCTCTCTGAGGATAAGAGGTAAAGCAAACCGTCTCTCTGTAATAATAATACAATGCTGCTTCTTGAAGAATTTTACCACTTACTGTCAATAAACCGCATAATAAAGTTCTGAGCCCAATGTGGTAACTGCCTGCTTGAAATCTTAAACATCTTTGATGGGTCACATCAGTGTCAAAACATGAAACATTGTGTAAAAAATGGGCATCTACCATTTGGCTTAGCAACAGAAGTACAAAGACTGAATATGATTCTGGAACTTGAGTCTCTGGAGAGAAGTCTTCAGCTACCTGAAGCTGAGAACTAAAATGGCAGGGTAAAATGTCAGCTATAGAAATGTATTAGACTGTGTAATTAGACAAACTTGTATTGAAGGTAAATGATCTATTTTCTCCTTTCTCATGGCATTCTACTTCTGCTCACTCTTCATCGAAAGAAGAAAAATTTTCTCTAATGAAAAATGATTCCATGAAGCAGACAAAAGGCAATGACAGTGCAACACTAAGATGACAGGCGTCAGGATATCTAACAATATGTAATATTACTTAATGCAATTATTTCAGGTATATTTACATATAAGAACACTAAAGGAAATCAATTGGACCTTATAAAACACAACATAACAGTCTTTTTGGAAACTTTCTACATGATCACTTATCCTTTTAGCTGTGGTAAATAATAAAAAAAAACCTAAGCAATATTTTTATATTACCCTGTTCTGTTTCAGTAAAAGACCAATTGATCAATATTCAGTATATATGACTGAATTCTGTCATTAACAATACAGTATTTTCCAAGATGTTCCAAGATGGAGCCAAAAAACATCAACTGTTAAAATGTTTACCTGCTTTATTCTGCAGAGATCTTCTACTGCCTTGCCAGTTAGGAAGGTCATTGAAGTCACTTTGTTCTGCAACAGATAATCAAAATAAGAACAAAAAACTTCAACTGAGGACCATTCTGACTTGTCTGCATTAAGAGAGTACACACATGAATCAGAGACAAGCTGTTTTGTTGCGGAAAAAAAATTAAAAGGTGATCAAAACCAAGGACAAAGAATTCCAAAGCACAGTGTACTCTCAAAAAAAAAAAAAAGTGTAATTTGCTCCTCATATTAAAAGCTGTAGTTGAAATTAAGATATATTTGTAACATTACTATATTAATGTTTATTGATCTGTATAGTAAGTCTAGAAAATAGTTTGGACTTTATGAAAATTCTTTATTTGAATGCTTCAACAGAAATTGTGAGCAAAGTAACTTAAGAAGTAATTAAATAAACGTTTGAAAATGCATCTGAAATTGAATATGCCACTGAGAATATTGTATATATCCACTGAGAATATGCGGATATTGTAGTGGGAATCTGCTACAGGCCACCCTATCAGGACAGTGAGACTGATGAGCTATTCTTTAAACAACTGGGGGAAGTCTCGCGCTCACTAGCCCTTGTCCTTATGGGTGACTTTAACCTGCCTGATGTCTGTGGGAAATATACCATGGCAGTCAGGAAACAGTCTAGGCGGTTCCTGCAGAGTGTGGAGGACAACTTCCTATCACAACTGGTCAGTGAACCGACTAGAGAAGGTGCTCCCCTAGACCTGCTGTTTATGAACAGAGAAGGTCTTGTGGCAGATGTGAAGGTTGGAGGACACCTGGGGCATAGTGACCACGAGATAATAGAATTCTCAATTCTAGGGGAAGTTAGGAGGGAGAACACTAAAATGGCCAAGCTGGACTTTGGG